TGTTGACACTTCGTTAAGAACAATCGCATTGTAATGCCTGCTTTTCCTACTCATACATATCGTACACATCTTGCAAACTATTCCTACTCTCTCCACTCATCAATCATTTACTGGCCTAATTCTCTTTTACGAAAGCCAGCTTAGTTCATCGAAACAAGCTTTGGTTTTCCGCACTTATTATCAATGACAAATAAGCATGCGTTTCTTCCTCATACCAAAACATTGTTACTGCAAAATCTCTCAATATTTTCCTATAGTTTCACAATTATTAAGAGGATTGTGAATTTTAATTATTTTTCTGTTCAATTCGCACCGATCTGAACAGCTAACCTTACAGGGTTCATTAGTAGACCGTTTAAGATTTATTGATCGAAAAATTTGTATTATTCATCTACTTGCCTACTTAGATACTTGAATACTTCAATGCTCTGCTTTCACTAGTAGTTCGAAATCCAGTGTATCCTCTTCCCTTCGTGTTTTCCACATGCTGTTTTGATTTATAGTGTTGGTATGTTTCGAAATGTGGCGACGTCGGTGATATGTTTATTGACGATAGTTTACTCTCTCAACTTATCGGTTTATCGTAGTTTGGTTATATTATGTAATGAAGATATCCGTTTTGCATGCAGAAAAAAGAACAAATGACTTTATTTTAATCACAAGGACCCAGAAATGTGAGCAAAACTCCGGACCTCATTTGGGCTTTATAACTCGCGACTACCGCCTTTGCCTACTCACGTGCTCTCTGCTAAACCGTTTTTTCTCTTCTGGTGATGTTGACCATACTGTCTTGCCTTCATCTGTATCACCTGTAGTGGCGTTGATGGTCGAATAACTCGAGCGGGCGCCAGTAAATCTTCCATTTTTCCCTTCCGCGCGCAAGAGTAGCCCAGTGCGTTCTGCTCGCTTTAGGGACTCGTCGAGCATCATATCTTTCTTCTAGGATCTTTATGAAGAACTCTGACCATAAGCTCGGTGGTCTTCCTGCAGTACGTTTAACATCCCGAGGAATCCAGTCACTAACGGTTCTTGTCCATCGGTTGTCATTCATACGCATTACGCATCCGGCCCACCTTATCTTCGACTCTTTGGCGTACAGAACTGTATCTTCGATTTTTGTTCGTTGACACAGGTCGGAGTTTGGGATCCCTTCCCTTAGTTGCGTGACACGGGATACTCCTTGCATCGTCCATTCGACTGCGTGTTCGATAACGCTGAGTGACCTTTCATCCTGTTTACGCAGCGACCAGCAAGCAGATTGGGCGATAGCTGCCGAAATCTCGTTGGTCACCCATCTTGAGCAATAACACGGTCTTTCTGGTCTTCCACTAAGTAGGGACCGTGCATTCAGACAGGTAACGTGCGAACAGCCTAGCCAGTGTGCTTACGAGGACTGGCGGAAGATTCTTCAGGTGTTCTGGTCTTATCCTGAACAGACTTGGTGCTGTTCGATTTTTCACCGGGGAAGTGGCATGTCGGATTTTGGAAGGGAGAACCGGTGGTATTATCCATCCTCTTTTATATCATATGACGGAACGTGGACGTGGCTATCGAAGAGAAGTATTCGTGAATGATTTTTACATTGCCATTGTGGACGCTGTAACTGTCCCGTCTGGGCATTGGAGTGCAATCATCTTGGTCTTGTAACTGGCGAAGCTTCGGTGGGCTATGCGTATTCTTTTCCCAGGCTCTTTAGCTTCGACCATTACTGCTGCTCTTTTCTCTTTAAGATCTTCTTTTATGGCCTGTCTGCATTGTTTTCAAGTTCGGACGTTAGTTTGCGGTTACCTGCAGCTCGTGCGATTCCACGCTGGCGTATTAGCTCGAGTGTTTCTGGAGATAAACGTCTCTTGGTGGCTTTCGAGCTCTTAGCGTTCATAGTGCTAACGTTAAGATGTTGAATGAGCCGATCATATTCTTCGTCGATGTTATCGGCAACGGCATCTTTCCAACAGCCGACTAATGAAATGAAGAAGTCCCAGTTTACGGTGGCTCTGGGACCTCGGTTTTTGAATTTAGCGGCGTTTTCTCCTTTCTGCGAGAAATAGAATCTTGCTGGGGCTTGCGAATTACCATGGATGGTCTTGGTCACCGTGATAAACTCAGACAGCCGCTCACACTGTTGGTTCAATTCTAATCCGTGGGTCCCAATGTGTCGTTCTTCTTGGTCCAGTTTTGGCGTTGCAATCTCCAATGATGACCTTGAAGAATGTGCGGTCTTCTCTGTAGAACTTCTCCAAGTCCGTATAGAACTCTTCGACTTTTTATTCGTTGTAGTTTGATTTCGGCGCATAAACGACGAAGATTGTCAAAGCCGGAATTGATCCACATATTTTTTATAGTAAACTTCCGATTCGGGTTGTTAGTTGTTCGAATGAGTCGATGTTCGTGGACAAACTCGTGTTGACGAGAACGCCGACGCCGCCGACTCATCTCCTGTAGTATGTTCCGAGAAACAGTTCTTCTCGGGTGTCATAGACGGCGTTGAAAGGGTGGGGTCTCCTCGTCTCGGCCAGGCCGATGACGTCGCACCTTATCCTTCTTGCTTGCGTGAGCAAATCTTCTATCGAGGACTCGGATGCAAGTGTACACGCATTATAGGTACAGATCGTCACTATAGTTCTTTGAAATTCAGGCAGCTTCCATTGGCCCTGGGATTTTAGCAGCCTCTCCGAACTCGTCCTACCCAACGCTGTGAGATTGGGGCTCTTTCGGGGTTATGGGAATGAGGCCTGTTTTTTTTTCCGGGTTTAGAATTTTGATACCCACATATAGCTTGCTGGACTTTGAACGTAGGCGCTGGGTATACTCACGGGTGGCTTAACAGGCTCTCCCAGAGTGAACGCGGAGCTTATTTGTTGGAGGCGGCTTCTAACCACCTCCCATATACTTCCCTGTCACTTGATTGCAGTTTTTTTTGACTCGAATGGCCGAACTGACTCGATGAATACAATCCGCATAAGCGTGAACGTACCACACACGAATGCATGAATACGCTTAGCAAATACAGAGAGTATGTGCCATATCGGCGCAGCAAAAACAGGGAGTCCATCCCCTGGATCTACCTGCGTCTCAAGGAAGCAAAGGTCGCTTTTGGTCAGCGATTAACCCCTTTTCCGCCACCTGGGAACGCGCCACGTAGCCTCGCGACTAACCTGCTCGAGATTTCTCACATGAGGGAGATCCGTGGCTGTCTTGACTTACTACTAAAATTGTAACAGTTTTCTCTGTTAGGTTGTTCTTTTGTCTGTTTACTACATTCCGATCCGTTTTTGTTTTGTTCTCACTGCGTTGTTTATTTGGCTAATGTGTGATTTCATATTACATTCAACACTGTGGCTAAGAGAATAGTCAATCATCGCATCATCTCATCATATTAACTTTAAATTCCTTTTGAATTCTTCACGACATCGAACATTCTGCTTTATATAAAGCTGAGATAACTCCCACAACCGACTTTCTATTAACCTCGGCATTGATCAAGTAATTCTTCGTATTTTTGTTGAGCAAACGCGAGGTGTTATTGTTCTTTATTCACGACGTTTCGGCGGATTTCGCCTTCCTCAGAGCCGCTTTTTATGAGGTTTCCACTAAGTATGTCGCGTAGAGACCAACCGCATAGAAATCACATGGAAGTATAATGTCTGTGTCTCTACGTGACATACTTAGTGGAAACCTCATAAAAAGCGGCTCTGAGGAAGGCGAAATCAGCCGAGACGTCAGCTTAATCGTGAATAAAGAATAATAACACCTCGCGTTTACTCAACAAAAATACGAAGAATGCTGAGATATTTACAAAACTCCGCACCGCAGGTGTATGCTGTGGGGAACGAACCCGCGCTGTTGTCCTTACCGGGGAGCAGCGCACTTCATCACCACACCAACCAGGTCCGTCGTTTTGCCTGTCTCTCAGCTAGTTCTATCGATTTTTTGCCATCAGAAATCACCCGTCAACGGGATTGATCTGGGGAGCTCAAATCGGCATTGAACCCAGTTAAGCTGAGGCTTAGTTATAATCATAATCTTAACCCTTTTATTTACTGCATTTTTCTTTTTAATGGCAGGGTATGTTGCGAAATATAACTCGTATATAGTGCTGAGATATTTGCAGTCCAAGTTTCCAAGTATCTGCAAATATCTCAGCATTATATACGAGTTATATTTTGCAACATACCCTTTCATTAAAAAGAGAAAGGCTGTAAATAAAAGGGTTAAGATTCTGCTTTATGTTAATATTGTTGTTTTCAAAACCTTATTAGATATTTCGGGGATTTCAATGAACCATTAGTACTCTTCCTCCCAACGGTAACGCCTTATCTTGGCTAGGAGGTGTTTCTGGGTGTCAGACTGCGATGTACAGCGAGGGATTCGTCTACCTAGCAGGGCGTCACAAGCTGAGAAGGGTTCTGGCGATTTATCAGGATGTACACCTATGCGAGGATCCACCATCTTCCTGGTATTAAACTAGTCGCCTGGTGGCAAATCTCCCTCTCATCCACAAGGACGGTGATTGCCTATGGTGGTGACGACCTGGGGCAGATTTTCGCCAGGCTTACCTCGGGACTCCGAAGAAACGCAATGGTTAAGCCAGAAAAACTCGAAAAAATGGTGAGTAATCTGCGTACCGTACAACCAGTGAGGACGGGCTGTCCAAGTTTCCAAGCATTCAAGTATTAGTAGTTTTATACAGTTGTAAATTTATTTTTTTGTAATAAGAAAGTATTTCAGCAGTCAAGATGTCCAAATTAAGTAATTAAGTGTTCGAAAGTGTTTCTCTGAAATTTCCTTCAGGTTTTAATTGTATTTTTCTCCAACTTTTTGTCAGCCTGTTGTTAAGTGCACAATATTATCCACTTATTGATTGAATCGCGACCTTAATCAATATCCACTCCATGTCTTATTGTACTTACATTTAATATATTCGTTGCTTCAGGTGCTCTGATTCAGATTATTAAAGTCGTTGCTTCATGCTGATGAACAACAACTAACATTAGATTGCAATGACACTGGAATCAGTGCGAAAGTTATTTTGTCTGGAACCTTCAGGAAACGCAAGTTTATTTATTTGCTTCGCTCAAAACACTTACTTTAGTTTTTCTTAGTATATCTGGTTTAACAGTTTTATGTGAATAAATTAGAATTTATGTAAAGAATAAGGCAAAATTACTAAACCTTATGAAATTCAACCAGTGAAGTTTGTTGTTTCACTACAGATAATCGACGGCGACTGGTTGAACACCACCCTGCAAACAATCCCTCATGTGGCTGAATGCGCTCAACATTTCTATTTATCGTGGTTACCAGCTATTTTTCTACTAATATTCTGTCCGCTTTCGTTTTATGATCTCTATCGTAGTGAAAATGCTCGAGCCAAACGTTGTTCACCGGTTACTTACAAAATTGTAAGCTATTTTGCCGTTTATTGTATAATTTTCACATGACGCGACATCATAGAAACTGTTCGGATCCCATCACCTCTTTCGTTCGATGAGTTTACTCTCATTCGTCACCCACAGCGGTCTTTGTGCGTGGATTCGGCTGCTGCTCACGAAGTCTTTCCACTTCATGAATGTCGCTGAATGCTTGTCCAGTCGATTCACCCTGGAATCTTGGAATAGCTGTGCTAGGCTGTTGCTTGGTCTTCTAGATCCGTAGGAGCTTCTCACACAAATCTAGTACCAGTTCCTCGATCGTGGCGTGACGAGTGCGTATTAAACCTCTGCACTACCAGTGCACCATCTTGCTGATCTAATATGATTGTTTATATGTAAAGAATACGGCATTATCCTGCCACTGACTCGCTGAGTACCACTTCCACTAAGAATGTGTGGGTAAATTTAGATGATTTGTTTTGCTCTCGTTATCGATCTCACTTTATCACTTATCTATAACATCTACAATTATTCTATATTGGATAGAAAGTCGTCGTTGCAATATGTGGTCGGAGATTGCGCTCAATACATAGGTAAGCTTGAATGCTTCTCTTTTTTGAATGCTTCCTTTGCAAATCTCCGCTTGTCTTATTTTTTCTTCGTCAACTTCGTTTAAGGTTTATGTGTCGCTCTAACAGTTCTCGTCGCCTGTAGGAATCGCGGTATTGTTACATCTGGTGTGTTGTTCATTTACTGGTTGCTAATGGTTTTATGTGGTCTTCCGGAGCTTCGATATTTATTCGAACAGTATTTGAATGTATGAGTTTTAACTTGGCTTCTATGATGTTTTTTTTTCAATCCATTCCTTTTCCTTTTATAGTTATTTTTTCAGGACGGCATACAAAATAAAATTCATTTTTTTCTTTACGCCACTTACTACCCTCTCGTATGTTTAGAGCTGTTTCTTTCTTGTTTTGCTGACAGACCTTCTGGAGCTTATAGCGGTGTACGTATTATTTATCATATTTTTCATCTATAACATGTTGCAACTAAGTACCTTAAGTAGTTGTTTTACTTGCGGCGAATATGCTTGGCCCGCGACTTTTCTAGTGCGCCCGATCAGCACCTGTTTGAGCGCTACGAACACGGCCGTTTCACTGTGTATCGTGCATGAAAAAGATTTTTTTGTTTTTGACGTTATCATAGGTTTTGGTTGGTCTTCCTTCATACTCCAATTCTTCTAACGGGGAAAGGAAACAAGGGGCCACACCTTGATGTGAAAGTGACAGCTCTGGAAAATTCTTCATAGGAACAAGAAAAGTTAGTCAATAAAAGGGAGATGGTCGCGGTATTATCAGGGCAAGAAAAGTCTAAAGCGGTTTGCTTAGAGAAAAAGATTGATATTAGGACTGAGAAAATGATCTCTTCAGAAACAAGTCTGCCCTGAACTGTCGACGTCGTTTCTTAATCAGATAACGTTTACATGGTTTACTGGATTGGCCATCCAGGGTTACAAGAGACCTCTGGAGCGTGAAGATCTCTGGGATTTAAACGATAGAGACAAAACGTGCAATCTGATACCTCGATTCTACCGTTTCTTTAGACCTCAACTTAATCGTAAGTTCTCATGTAAAATTTCTTCAAGCTTCTATTCTAAAACGAAAACCACTTGGCAGTTGTCGTTCCAATCGTCCCGTTAACCTTGAAGATTTTTATTTCTTTGAGTGAGGCAGAACTTCCCGGAAATTTCCAGTAGCGCACTGCGTGCAAAAATGCTACAGCATGTTCTATTACCAATTCTAGTGCTTCCACTATACACTGTCACAAAAGTCTATGCTTCGCTTTTCTTTTCTTTTAGATACCTCTGATTTTTCAATTGCGCTCCTTTGTATTTGTTCTAGACAATAATGATAATAATAATATTTATCGCAATTTTCATAATCTGTGTTTCAGGGATTCAAGCGGAGAGAAAGCAGAAATCAAGCACTAGCATCTCAGCAGATCGTTATCCATCAGTTTTAGTGCCTCTGTTTAAAACATACAGATTCACCTTCATATCCAGTGCCCTTCTCAAATTCACCTTCGATATCCTACAGTTCGTACCACCAGCACTGCTTAAGTACCTCATAAGTTTTATTCAGGTACGCATAAAATTGTGATTTATTCCTTTTTCCAGGGTTTTATAGAGATCAGAAATCCTTCCTAATTGATTGTTCTATGCGTACGCTTCAGTGGTTTCATCCATAGCCTAAATCAACTAATATTTGAGCAAACAACTAACGGACCAACCAGTTGGTAATAACTCTTACCTACTTGAAACTTGAATGACCTGTCGTCAATGGTTGTGCGGGCCTCAGCATAACCTCCACTTTTCGGAGATTTGCTGGTTAAGCCATTGTGGTTTCCTGGAATCCGGAGGACAGCCTGGCCAAAATCTGCCTCAGGTCTTCACTACCACAAGCACTCGCAGCTTTTGTGGATGAGAGGGAGATTAGCCACCATACGACTTTGATATCAGGCCGGTGTTGGATCCTCGTATTGATTTACTCTTAGCTAGGCTTCCTAATGGAAGCGCCGAACTCGTTCTCAGTTTGGAAGACCCTGCCTAGGGATGAATCCCGCGCTGTAAATCGCTGTCCGACGCCCACGAACACCTCCTAGTCACAATGAGGCGGTGAACCGTTGGGTAGGGTAACAACTCGGCTTGCGAAAAGTGAAACACAATGTTCCTCATTCCTAATTGACAAAAACTGATACTTGTATGCTTGAGTTAACTCGATGGTATTGGACTATGTGGTGACACGCAAAGTATAATATATACGATATCATTTAAACGGATATATTTTTGCAGTGAATAAAATAGAGCGGAAATAAAGCAGCTGCGAGCACAAGGATTACAAACCAAAACACGACTTTCACATTTTTCTTTTATCATTTTTCTTTTTGATTATAAACCACTTAATGCCGATCTGTTATCCGGTGGAAAGGAAGGACTTTAAAAAAAGGAAGAAATAAAAATTCGTGTTTTTTTTAATTCTTTACATACTCGGCTAAACAATACTCGAGCATCAACTTAATACTTGAATGACCTTTGTATTATGTGAGGCTTTTAGACGTCGTTGAAGTAAAAAGATAAAATGTTCGGTGTCGGTTTGTCTCTGACTCTAAACTCTGTCTCTACACTCTGAAAAAAGAAAACCCAAAATCAAAAGGAAAAACATGCGACAACGAATTGCAGGTCTTGTGGTGAACAATTAGTTCGGGATGTGCTAGGCTAGGACTAGCGGAATAATATTTCTAAAACCGAAATTCTTTTAACCTCGATATAATTTATCAATATTTTCTTGCATTGCAAAGTTAATATAAAATTGGCAAATTCGATTTGCGATTTAGTAACACCTCGTGTTTGCTCAGCAAGAATATCGAGAACTATTTGATCAATGCCGAGGTTAATAGAAAGTCGGTCATGGGAAAATTGGCAAGGTTTTTATTTCGCTAATATTTTGGCATAGGGCGCGTAGAGCAAGCACAGTGGTCGGGAGCGCCCTGCAATACATATAGGATCGACTCACGCTCTCCAGGCCCACCTAGCCCTCCATCCCTCCGCGGTTGGGTCGACAAATTTCTACCAGACTTGTCTGGGAAGATAACAGCACTACCTCGATACGTTACATCGGTAGGCCACCGCCAGTCATTGTATAAGGGAAATATGCATTCAATTGCCTCGAACAATACGTAATGAAGTCGAAAGCATGGCACATCCACAGCAGGTCGTTGTTACGATTTGGGCGTTCGTTATCGCATCGAGCAGAACGCGGTGGAGGGAGCACCACTCGAATCGTTGGACAATTGACTGCAGTCAACGAGGCCTTAAAAAAGGCGAAAGTGCCAAAACGTCAGCCGGATAGAAACTTCTTACCACCCTTATGAGAGCATTAATAATCCAAGGAAATATTGTGTAAAGGTGAATTCGCCGAACGATGCTGCTACATGCACCGTCCTTTTGTCCACCATCGTTCGACCTTTTCACCTGGATGTCATGGATGGTATGAAACGAAAGGATTCATAAGTAGCAGATGACGCGCAGTCTAAGAGAATTATCCTTTCTCAAGTACTTAGTATAGCACAGTATCGTTTCTAACTGGGATGATATGGGAAGATCTGGCATCACATCTTTAATAATGGGTTTCATGCTGGAGTTGAAGAGCACACCGTTTTCTTCACTGAAGCTTACCTCAGTCGAAAGACCAATAGGGTGAAAATGACCCAAATCATGCTCGAGATCTTCAATACACCCACCGTTTAAGTGGTTTTCTACGCTGCTCCGTTTTTGCATGCCTTTGTGGTTCCAGCGGAGTCGCACTTGTCTAACGAGTTAGTGTCACCCACACTGCTTTTTCTATCTATGGGATATAGATGGGAAGAAGGACAGTCATGTGAAGAAGCAGGATTTCATAAAGGATTCAGTACGATAGACCACATCCATACGATAACAAAACCCACTGAAGTATCGTGAGACTGCGAAAGACCGCTGTCTCTGACTTTCATAGACTTAAAGAAGGCATTTGACTCAGCTGAGATAGAAGCAGTTATGGAAGCTCTGAACACTCAAGGAGTCACTACTCAGTATATAAAGATTCTTTGTGAGCTGTGTAAAAATTTTACAACCAAGATATCACCATTCTACAACGATAATAACATCAACGTCAAAACAGGAGTTAGGTAAGACGATACCATCTCGCCGAATTTATTTACCGCTACCCTCTAGAACGTCAGGCGAATATTGGAATGGGATGACATAGAAGTGAAAATCGATGGTCGGCAATTGTGCCATCTTCGCTTTGCTTATTACACCCTTCTTATAACAACGAAAATTAGCCAAGCGAAACACATGCAAGCCGACTTTGATAAAACCTGTGGAAAAATTGGCTTTCGACTAAATCTAGAAAAAATGGTGTTTTTGAGGAACGGATTAGTTACGTACACCCACCTCTCTCACGCCCAAACGCAATTTATATCTCCAAATACTGAAGCTACGTCTAACTACGTCGTGAAGTCAGTGTGAAAGCACGACTTAGCTCCGGAGTTGAGCGAAAGGAAACGAAGGGCTTGCGGAGCTTTCAAGAGCCTCGAGATCTAGTGAAAGGAACAAAGAATACCGCACTCCGTGCCCATATTTTCGACTCCACGATACTTCCTGCCTTAACATATTCGTCAGATACCTGGTCGCTGCCTAAGCAAGATGAAAAAAGCGTTATTGAACGCGCAGTCGAAAAGATGATGGGAGGAGTATCCCGTGTCACACAAGTAAAGGAAGGGATTCGGAGCTCCGACCTGTATCAACGATACACGTAATACGTATGAACGACAACCGGTGGACAAAGTCGTTAGTGACTGGATTTCTCGGAATGCTAAACGTACTGCAGGAGGACCACCAAGCCGACGGTCAATGTTCTTTACGATGAGCTGAGATGAAAGTTATCATGCTGAATGACTTGCATACGACAGGGAAAATGGAAGATTTAATGGCGTCCGCTCCAGTCACTTGACGATCAACCTGATAAAAAAGCTCTCGATGATGTTCAGTCCCGGTGGCATGCGCCATGTATTCGATTTCATTAAACATCATTGGAAGTGACTGAATGCATAGTTGACCTTTACAATGAGTCGCGGTGGCCTATCGATTTATTGAGCCAGTGCTGCTATCCTCCTAGACAAAACTGGTACCAATTTGCCGACCCCAGAGGGATGGAAGGCTTGGTGAGCCTGGGGCGCTGGGGTCGAACCCATGAGTAATGCAGGGCGCCTCCGACCAGTGCACGACACATGCCCCTCTTAACCGAATGAAAGTTTTACTCTTACTTAATGAAAGTCCTCACTGGACGTGGTTACTCATCCGCACCCACCGCTGAACGTGTAATTGTTAAAACATCAAACGAAATCATCCCATTTAGCCCTCGACTTCCAAAGAAGATAGCCGCTGAGAAAAAAGAATAATGAGTGAAGCAGCGAATTGGAACTTTGTGTTTTATCATTATTCTTGTGCAGCACACTTGTTCCTTAATTTCAGCATCATGACCAACCGTTATGGGTTGGAATCGCTATAGCCAGCTGCATGTTTGTTGTTGCTGTCGTCCAATCAATGATACTTCATCAGTATTTCCATATGATGTTTCGTTTGGGTATGAATATACGTTCTGTACTCACTAGCGCCGTCTACTCGAAGGTGAGCATATGTTTACTAACGTTCGCGACGTCAATATGTCTAAGTATTAAAGATGTGACGAATTGAAAAGTAAAATTCTGACCATTTTAGGTTATTTGATCGCTTAATGTACTTAATTTTTTTAATGATCCGATTTAAACACCCGTCTAAGCACCTTGATCACCCTTCTTCACATATTATGCTGACTGAGCGGTGAGCGGCTTCGTGCGTTGCTTTTGGACTTCTTCCAGGGCTTCCGACCGCTCGAGATTAGTTGACCAACCACGAATAGAATGTCGAACAGGTCCTATAGTATTCTTCACATTTAAATGACCATTTGAAGATTTTCGAACCCTTTTTGAAGTCAAGCAAGTCTTATGTGGTCATTTTTGCGATCATTTTTAGTAGCGATAGGAAAACTTACAACTACTGTGATCTTCTATTATTTTTTCCACCATCAGTAATTAAAAATTGATTAGATGCACTTATTCTGTTATAGTCTTTAGCTTCTTAGCGAAGCATTCTTTGCTAGATAATGTTCTCATTCCTTCTTGTTATACAATAAAGCATGATATTGACTTTTCGCAGTAGTTTTAAATGATTTGCTCTATTGTACTATCACTTTGATCATTGCGCAAGTTTCTACTATTTCAATAAATTTTCCACTTAGCACATTTCTACTTTCTTATTTTCCATTGTAACACATATTTGTGAGAAGTGTTTTCAGGCGATGAGCTTATCCAATAACGCGAAAAAGAATAAAACAACGGGAGAGATTGTTAATCTGATGGCTGTTGATATTCAGAGGTTACAGGATATGACAACATTTGTAATGTTATTCTGGTCAGCTCCTCTTCAGGTATCTCTTAGTAGATATGTTTCATTTCGTCTTATATCATTTCCTGCTTCATCTTTTTTTTGTTCAAATTGAAATTGCTAACTTCTATAGTTTGTAGGTGATTCTGTCTATATTTTTCCTATGGAGAATACTTGGTGTGGCAGTGATTGCTGGTTTAATGGTCTTATTTGCTATGGTACCTTTTAACTCCTACATTTCTGTGAAAATGCGAAACTGTCAGGTAAGATCTCGTAGCTTTTTTGAATACTTTCGCCTCTATTTGTTTTTTCAGTTTGTTTAATGTCAGATTATTGCTATTCGTTAAGGTAAAACAAATGAAACATAAAGACGAGCGTTTGAAAATGATGTCAGAGATCTTAAACGGGATGAAAGTTCTCAAATTATATGCATGGGAAAAAAGCATGGAGAATACGGTAAGCACTTTTTTCCGCCGCTACGATTTTGTTTTGTAAATGATACTGAACTGCGATCTTTAGCTCTTACTTACTGCCCATTCTTTTTTATGGCAAAGTATTATGTGAGACAACGACAACCATGTTGAGATATGAGTGAAGCTCGGAGCCTAAGGTGGGCTTCGAGCCCAAGATCACACTTTCCGTTAGAGTGAAAAACTGGCTAGGAAAGGCAAAGCGAGAGCCTGAATTAGTGTAGTGAATAGTGCTGAGCCTCCAGAAAGTGTAATCACTTGTTCCAAGCCCACATGAGGTTCCGAGTTTAGCTTATATCTCAGCATCCATGGTGTGCGGAATTAGTTAATTTGTAAATAGTAGGGTGGCTAAGTTATGGGAACAGACTACTGTAGGCATAATTTGTGTTTTAATCACAATTTTTTCCATCATAGGTTTTGAACATTCGAGTCAAGGAACTGAACATCTTGAAGCATTTAGCGTTTTTAAACGCTGCCACCACTCTATCATGGGCTTGTGCTCCATTCTTGGTAAATTTTTTCCTTACATTTGGTCTTAAATTTTTTTTCATTTTCAATCTTCGTTGTTTATCTTTACTTTGTTTGAAGATATTTTCTGTTTTCTTTCTGTCTCAATTTTTCTTCACAGTGTTTCAAAAACTGACTTTACTTTAGCCTCGGAATGACTATTCAAAATGTGTTCATTCGTAGATACGCTAACACGATTTTGCTTAAAAAAAGACTGTGTTAAGCAAACACGAGGTGTTACTCTATCCTTTGCTCCATTAAAGCTGACGTTTCAGCCTTCGCCTTTTTCAGAGTCTGGAAATATAATAGAATATCACATGTATCACCTGTAGTCCCGTTGATTGTCGAGTGACTCAAGTGAGTGCCAGTAAATCTTCCATTTTTCCTGTCGTGCGCAGTAGTCCAGTGTGCTCTGCTCGCTCTAAGGACTCATCGAGCATCATGTCTTTCTTCTAGGCTCTTTGTGAAGAACACTGACCATCGGTTTGGTGGTCTTCCTGCAGTTCGTTTGAAATCCCGAGGAATTCAGTCACTAACGACTTTGTCCACCGGTTGTCGTTCATACGTATTACGTGTCTTACCCACCTTATCTTCGACTGTTTGGCGTACGGAGCTACATATTTGATTTTTGATCTTGACGCAGGTCGGAGCTTCGGATACCAACCCTTACTTGTGTTAAACGGGATACTCCTAGCATCGTTCTCTCGATTGTGCGTTCGATAACGCTGAGGATAACGGTCTGCTTACGCAACGACCAGGTTTCTGACGCATATATGAGGGGAGGAAGTACCGTTGAGTCGAAAAGGTGGGCACGGAGTCGGGTGTCCTTTGTTTTCTTCACTACATCCTCGATGCTCTTGAAAGCTTCTCAAGCCGCTCGTTTCCTTCTTCTCAGCTCTAGAGCTAAGTCGTCCATCATATTGATTTTCCGACCTAGATATATATAAGTGCAGCATTCGGAGATATTCGTTCCGTTGAGCGTGAATGGGGCGTGCGAAACTAATCCGTCCTTAATGGCATCGTTTTTGTGAGATTTAGTCGAAGACCAATATTTCCACAGGCTTTATCAAAGTCGTCAACCATACGTTCCGCCTGACTAATGTTTGGTGTTATAAGGACGATGTTATCAGCAAAGCGAAAGTGGTGTAACTGCCGACCGTCGATTTTCACTCCCATTTTATCCCATTCTAATGTTCGCATGACGTTCTGGAGGGTGGCGGTAAATAATTTTGGCGAGATGGTATCGCCTTGCCTAACTCCTCTTATGACGTCAATGTTAATATTGTTGTAGAATGGCGCTATATTAGTTGTGAAATTTTTGTACAGCTCGCGAAGTATCTTTATGTGCTGAATAGTTGACTATCAAGAGCTTCCAAGACTGCTTCTATCTCAACTGAATCAAAGACCTTCTGTGAATCGTCGAAAGTGATACGGAGCGGTATTGTACTCTCGCGATACTTCAATGAGCCTTGTTATCGACACCGAACAGATTGGACTATAATTGCTGATATCGCGCAGGTTACTCACCCTATTTGATCAATAACGCGGTCTTACTGGTCTTCCACTGAGTACTGATCTTGCATTCAGACAGGTAACGTGTAAAGAGCCGAGTCAGTGTTTTTACGAGGACTGGCGGAAGGTTTTTCAGGTGTTCTGGTCTTATCCTGTCCGGACCTGGTGCTGTTCGATTTTCCACCGGCGAAATGGCATGTCCGATTTTGGAAGGGAGAACCGGTGGTACAACATATCCATCCTCTTTTATATCATATGACGGAACGTGGACGTGGCTATCGAAGAGAAGTATTCGTGAATGATTTTTACATTGCCATTGTGGACGCTGTAACTGTCCCGTCTGGGCATTGGAGTGCAATCATCTTGGTCTTGTAACTGGCGAAGCTTCGGTGGGCTATGCGAATTCTTTTTCCAGGCTCTTTAGCTTCGACCATTACTGCTGCTCTTTTCTCTTTAAAATCTTCTTTTATGGCCTGTCTGCATTGTTTTCAAGTTCGGACGTTAGTTAGCGGTTGCTTGCAGCTCGTACGATTCCACGCTGGCGTATCAGCTCGAGTGTTTCTGGAGACAGACGTCTCTTGGTGACTTTCGAACTCTGAGTTTTCACAGCGCTATCGAGAAGATGTTGAATGAGCCGATCGTATTCCTCGTCGGTGTTATCGGCAATAGCATCTTTCCAATAGCCGACTAATGAATTGGCTAAGTCCCAGTTTGCGGTGGTTCTGAGACTTCGGTTTTTGAATTTAGCCGCGTTTTCTCCTTTCTGCGAGAAATAGAATCTTGCTGGGGCTTGCGAATTACCATGGATGGTCTTGGTCGCCGTGATAAACTCAGGGGGCCGCTCACCCTGTTCGTTCCGTTCTAATCCGTAGGTCCCAATATGTCGTTCTTCAGACGTTCTTCTTGGTCCACTCTTGGCGTTGAAATCTCTTATCAGGAATGAGTGGTCTTCTCTGTAGAACTTCTCCATGTCCATATAGAACGCTTCTACTTTTTCTTCGTCGTAATTTGATGTCGGTGCATAAACGACGAAGATTGCCAAGGCCGAAATTGATCCACATCTTTTTAATCGTAAACGTCCGATTCGTGTTGTTAGTTGTTCGATTGAATCGATGTTCGTGGACAAACTCGTGACGAGAATGCCGACGCTGCCAACTCCTCTACTGTCGCATGTTCCAAGGAACAGTTCTTCTCCGATGCCACAGCCGGCGTTGAATGGGTGGCGTCTCTTCGTCTCGGTCAGGCCGATGATGTCGTAGCTTATCCTTCTTACTTGCATGAGCAAGTCTTCTATCGAGGACTCCGATGCAAGTGTACGTGCATTGTAGGTACAGATTGTCACCATAGTTCTTTGAAATCAAATCTGCTTCCATTGGTTCTGGGATTTTGGCAGTCTATCTGTACTCGTACTACCGAACGCTGCCAAATCGGGGCCCTTTCGGGCCAGGGGAATGAGGCCCGCTTTTTTTTTTACTGTGTTTAGCATTTTTGATACCCACGTATAGCTTGCTGTGCTCTGAACGTGGGTGCTGGGTGTACTCACGGGTAGCCTGGCAGGCTCGTCCAGAGTGGACGTGGAGCTTATTTGTAGGAGGCGACTCCTAACCGTCTCCCATATACTTCCCAGTCACTTGATTGCATGCTTTTGTCAGAATTGACTCGTTGAATACAGTCCGCATAAGCAAAAACGAACCCACACACGCATGCATGAATACGCCTAGCAAATACAGAAAGTATGTGCCAAATCAGCGTAGCAGAAACAGGTAGTCGATTCGCTGGATCCAGCTGCGTCTCAGGAATGCAAAGGTCGCTTTTGGTCCTCGATTAACCCCTTATCCTCCACCTGGGGACGGGCCACGTAGCCTCGTGTCTAACCGCTTCGAGATCCCTCATATGAGGGAGGTCCGTTAATAGAAGGTAGAATATAATTTTGTATAGCCTTGATTTATTACTAGACGTACCAGCATGGGACTATGTTAACTTTTTATTTACTCCCTATCATAATTATTCATGACAGGGTATTTCGTGTGAAGCAACCACAATGATCCTGAGATATTTGCAAAACTCGGGACCGCAGGTGTGTGCGGAGGGGAACGAACGCATTATTGCTCTTTCCGGGGCTAACGTGTTCACCAGCACACCATGCGGGTCCTTTGTTTTGCCTGTCTCGTAGCTAGTTCTATCGATCAGTGCCATCAGCAATTACCCATCAATGGGATTGATCTAGGGAGTCAAAATCGGCAATGAATCCGATTAAGCTGAGGTTCAAATAATCTATATTCGCCTAGCATTTCTGCCCCTTTCTCTTACTCAGAGCCGTATTGATGCGAGTCAATTGCCCACTGTTTCTCGTTTGTCTGAAATATTGTTACGCTCTGTGCTAGCTGACAATAATACCGACTGCTACAGGATGCTTTAACTAGAGAAAAACAATTATTGTTAATGGAAAACCACTACCAGCAATAACCGTCTTGTATAAAAGAGCACTGCTGAGTAAGGTTCTTGATTCGAGCGATGCTGCCCTGGTTTCCACTCGATGCGATCACAAAAATCCACATCGGAAGAAGGTAAAACTGTGAACAATCGAGTCGGATCAATTCGGCTCTGAGGAAAGCGAAGAGGCCGAAACGCTAGTCGAATAAAGACTTGTTTTTTCAACGACCACATGTTAGCTTTTCTACAAAGGAATCCTTTTTTAAAATTTTCATGGCTTTTGGACTTGTTTGCCCTTCTTGTAATTACTATTTCTCTTAGTGATAGTGTAGCTTATAAGCTATGACTGCACTTTATAAAGCATGAAATTCTTTTTACTGTTGGACTATCATTGGTTATTTATGTTTTCTTTAGGAAATTTAAGAATTGTAATGAAAAGGAGGAAGCTAAGGGGATAGAAGTACTATACAATACACAAAGGCTTCCTCGCTCTATTCTGCACCCTGTCTCGTCAAGCCTTCCGTCTCGGGGGAGGCGAATCAGCACTGGCATTGTCCAAGACGATGGAAACACTAACCAGCAAGTTACGACAAATAACTTCATGGAACAACTATGCATTCATTATTCCCTACGATGGAGTCGAATGCATGGAGCATTCCTGTAGATTGGTCAATGCTTTATCATTTATTACATTGCTAAACAGTTTCCTAACACCGTTTCATTGGAAAACCTCATCTTCTCAACGAAGACATTTTTTGGGAAAAAACCAAAATTCCGAAGGTGCTCTGGATTCAAATCAATCTTTTTGCCTTCTGTTGTAAACTTTGATTTGTTGTAAGTTGATATTTCGTTCCACATAAATTACTAGAAATCTCCGTTGTTTCTCCAATTTATCGTGGTTGTGTGTACTCTTAGGTAATAAATTGGGTTGTACATCACGGACGGAGTTCCGCCAACATAGTCACCAAACTCGAGATTGAATTGGAAATCTCCATATACCATCTCGTTCAAAAGTGGGCAATCATTGCAGCTCAGGAATACATCTTATCGAAAGACGAAAAGTTTCCTTGGGTCCAGGTCTGTGGGAGAAACGTTACCAAGCCAGTAACATATCAGTTAAGTGCAAAATGTGCTGAGACCTGCCGGATTCTTTGTCACACCAAACCATTCATTTATCAAGGAATCAAGTTACTGACACAGCAACAAGCGAATAATGTGACGTTACTGTTCAACGACTGCCCCTGAAAGTCAACTTCATAGCTGGAAACTTTTTTTTTTAAAATTTTCCATCATGAAGTTCTAGACAAACTTTTTGGGATTGATACATTTCCTAGGAAAGCGCCATTCGTTCACCTCTTTTCGTAGCGTCTTAGGGGTGATTGAATTTATATTTAGCCTAGACTTGCTGGTGCTTGATGTTGTATTAGGTTAGAGTTTTTTTCCTCATAGACTAGTTTGATACCAGTTTTCACACCCTAATAGATGGCGAGGCCTAGTTGGAGGACAAGCGGATTCGAACCAAAGACCAGTTATCTATTGTGGAACACTAACCACTGCGCTACATCCGCTATAAATTGATAACTAAGCTGATATATTTCTAATATATGTGTGCATACTCTTACAATACATCTAGGTTGCCGTACTTTCATTCGCCGTCTTCGTAACCATTGATCCAACCAACAATGTGCTTACACCTCAAGTTACTTTTGTTGCATTGGCTCTTTTCAATATTCTACGTTTCCCTTTAGCCATATTTGCAATGATATTCAGTCAGGTTAGTTCCTTATAAACTTTATTTTTAGAGAGTATTGGTTGAAGTTTTCAAGGTTTCTAGAACATTTTCTAATTATATCTCATAGAATAAACTAAATAATATCTTACCTACTTGATACTTGAACGGCCCGTCCTCATTGGTTGTGCGGGTCCCAGCATTTCTCTGAGATTTGCTGGTTCAGCCATTGTGGTTCCCTGGAATCCCGAGATCAGCCTGGTGAAAGTCTACCCCAGGTCTTCAACACCACAGGAAGTCGCCAACTTTGTGGATCAGAGAGGGGTTTACCACCATGTGACTTTGATACTAGGACGGTGGTGAATCCTGGTGTTGATTTATTCTTAGCTAGGCTTCCTGATGTAAGTGCCTTCTTGTCAATTTAGGAGACGCTGACAGAGGGATGAATCCCCACGCCGTACATCGCTGCTCGACGCCCAGGAACACCTCCCAGAAACGATGAGGCGGTAAACCATTGGGAGGAACTAAATAATTAGAAAAACTAAAGTTCGAGAACGTTTTAGAGGAAGCCAAAAGCGGATGTAATTTTTCCTAAAACGAGATAATGTTAATGGTAACTCCATATGTGCTGAATAGACTAAATAAAGAGTATGATATTGATAAATCTTTCCATTTCTTGTACATTGCTTTAGTCAGAGGAAGATATTGTCATGTTATAGAAAACTAGATGATTAGAAAAGGCAAAGAATTCTACTTTCTAGGCTGTTCAATGTCACGTCAGCAACAAGAGGCTTCGTGCATTTTTTGCAGAAGAGGAAATGGATTACAGTGCAATTGAGACTAGAAGTAGTGGTATGGACGCAATCAACAGTATACCATTGTCGTCCAGAATTCTTGTTCTGCCTCTATTCTGATTTTTTAAACATTGTTTAGTTTTTGAATTAAGATGATGCGCTAAAGATCGAAGACGCTACTTTTACATGGGAAGGTGATGAAGGTGAGGCGACACTGAAACACATCACTATGTCCGTTACACGCGGTCAACTTGTTGCAATAGTTGGAAAAGTTGGCTCTGGCAAAAGCAGCCTTTTGCAAGCGGTGTTAGGTTTGCTTACGACATTTTATATTTCGTATAATCTACAGAACTTTGCTGATTGGGCGATTTTAGGTGAAATGAACAAAATTAGTGGTCGCGTGAACATCTGTGGATCGGTAGCGTATGTTCCACAACAAGCGTGGATACAGAACCTCACACTTCGAAATAATATTCTACTTAATCGGCCGTACGATCAACCGTTTTACGATAAGGTTATAGATTCATGTGCTCTTCGTCAGGACCTGATGAGCCTTCCTGCTGAAGACTTGACTGAAATCGGTGAAAAGGTAGTGCTACGTTCTTTCTTCTGTCAAACAGTGCGGTAAATGTAGAAAGTGCTATGATAGCTTGAACTGACTTGGTTATTGGTACGTTGGGCTTTTGGATATCGTTGAAATAAAAGAACAAAGAGTTTGATATTCATCAGGTTCGTCGGGATTCCCTATGCATTTGACTTCATCAAGCATCACAGAGGTGGTCGAATGCATATTGTATGCACAACTACTTTCGGTGCACTACATATGTATTATGTTAGTATTTTGATTCTGCCGTACAAGGCAGCTACTAATCTAAAAAATCGGTAGAATACTGGAGTTGGTTCGCCGTGGGCCCAAAATCAAGTCAATAACCATGTGCATTTCCAGCCACTGCACTATATGCACCTATCATTGAAATACTTAACAGCAAAAATATTAAGTGTAATTTTTTCTTTCGCTAGGGAATTAATCTCTCTGGAGGGCAAAAGCAACGCGTTTCACTTGCAAGGGCCGTGTACTCATGCGCAAATATTATACTACTTGATGATCCTTTGAGTTCGGTTGATTCTCATGTTGGCAAGCATATATTTGAAAACGTCATATGTAAGTGTGTTCGTTTTGAAGTTTTACACTGTCACCGTCCTCATTGTGCATTTTATCATTATTATCTTCTTCTTGTTCCTCATCATCGTCGTCTTCATTGCTATCTTCATCATCGCTACGACAACCATCATTGGATCTCTTTCTATCTAAAATAGCTGTTTCTAGCTTCCGCAACTGGTATTTTGTCACATACAACTCGGATCCTAGTCACTCACGGTTTACATTATCTGAAGTATTGTGATAAGGTTATCGTCATGAAAGGTACGAAAAAAATTGTTCGTTTTTTGAATGAGTGTTTGATTCTAAGGGCAGCATTTATGCACATTTTCATTTTATGATTGACAAAGCTTGAAAAAATGACGACATTTGTTTTGTTTTTGCTAAAGATGGCGAAATCAATGAAATGGGAACGTATCACGAACTGATGGCCAAGCATGGTGCTTTCAGCGAGTTTCTTGAAGAATTCCTGCTTGAGGAATCTAAAAAGCGTGGACGAAGTATAAGCTTCGGTGAAGATGGTGTGTTGCTACTGTAGTTGTGTAAATAGCGAAAAATTCTCCTAAAAAAAGTAATCACCTCGTTCGAAACCTGAGGTACTTCTCGGAATTGTTTTTTGTTTAGCCGAAGAAGTATCGGAAATCTTGAATGAAATGGGAAAATTGAGTCCTGTGCGAACGCGGTTTATCGAATCGCAACTTGTTCACGACGCTGCTGATGCTTCACCTATTCATGAAGAGGTTAGCATAGTCATCGTGATCTCATTTGTATGAGTAACGTTTAAGTTAAAATTTTTTCTGGTCTTAGAAATATGATGTAGATGATTGTGATTTTTAGTTTATAGAAATTGTTTGTGCTCATAACTTCTGAGCTAAGTTCTGTTGAATTCTTGTACAATGGATGGATGTATTGTAGTAATGGATATTTAGAGAAAATACATTAGGGCGAAGTACTATACAAAATCTAGATGTCTTCGGCAAAGAGAGATTGTTGCTAAAGTAGACTACTTTGGATGAAAGTGTTTAATTTCTGCAGACAGAGAATCCGCAATTAGAAACTTCGCCAATAACGAAGAATGGTGGTGTGGTCGCAGTGCAGTCTGAGGAAGAACATAGTGCTGTGATAGGAAAAATTGAAGAGAAAGTCGCTTTACTTGGTGAGGAGAAAAGTGCACGGAAAAGCAGACTCATTGAGAACGAAGGAGTGGAAACGGGAAAGGTAAGTGTTGTTCTAATCAACTTTGTACCCTAGGAAGTTCATGAAGAATCTAACTTTTAAATATTTCGCTCTAAAGGCTCGCCTGGCATCACGTTCTTCTTTAAGGATCTTCTTGAAAAGTCGTTGGTACAAGGTGACTAATCTCCATATTGCATCCCTAGACTTCCATGTAACGTGTTCACAAAAAGCTCTTGTTCAGTTGTCGGTAAGGCGATTCGCAAATGCAGCTCTCTAGACTTCTTTCTCAGGTGCATGGAACGAAATGAAGCGCCGGACTCTTGATGAAATGTTTAAAAAATACCGATCGCACTCTTATTTTGGTTATTTGACGTTCTGATATCTAACGTGAGTATTTAAGCATTAAAACTCGTTGAATCTGCGACATGGTAGCATAGCCAGGTGTTCTTTGTATTCTTGGTTGTCGGCGTCATTCCAAATTCTTCAACTCCCTCACTTCCTCCTGCCGATCTCCAGAAATAGTCTTTTACTGTGCCGACTTCACGATCTGGATAGGCATAGCTGAAGCATTTGGAGACTCTGTTTCCGTTGAGTATGACTACGGTATCGGGACTCATCCACGGTCGCTGTTTTCTATGTTCAGCTGACTAGCCACATAACGCATGCAGTCGAATACATACAGTGCCCCTTTCATCTGACAATTCCTTGGTAGTTCGCAGTGTGACTGACAACTATCAGCTTCCACTCTCGTTTTTCAGTACTCCAATAGGTGGCGAAGAGTTTTGCTGACTTCACATCTTCTTGTCTGACTGTTTCCTACATGTCGCTGACCTTTTGTAGAATTTCGAAATTTTTATCGAGAAGTTGCTATAAAGCTCATAAAATGCTCTATGTACTAAGTAGGAATGTCCAGATGCCCAAATCTTTCATAATCCCTCATAATTCAACAAATTTTAAGGCGTTGATGAAGGAAGTGAAAACTAGTGAATTCATAAGCTCCACTGATATGTTTACGAATTTAGCAACCTTCAAGATATTGTCCGTTATACGGGGCTCATTTGGATTCACCATTTGTTCATATGTTTTCTACCATCCAATTTTCTGTTGATTCCGTTAAGGATTGCAGTGTTAAAGAGCTGAAGCAAGTATATTGGAATAAAGTCGTCGTTGTTTGTGGTCTTAACAAAAAATCACTACGTTCGAAATTGAGAGAAAGTGCTCTGAATTTGTGGGCTACCTTGACTACTTTTGGTAATAGTGGAGCATTCCGTCGGCCACTCATCTTGTTCTTTTTATTCTAGTCAGTGGCTTCCAGTATAATTTGTTTTAGACGCTCTTCTTCAGCAGATGTTGGCATTGAAATCGCGTATAGCCATTTTCAGAAAGTGCGACTTCGCTGGGAATCTGTTCCAATTCCTTCGTAATGCTTCGATATCGTAATTTAACGTTGATGAATAGCCGAAAGAGATTGTCAAAATCGAGCTGCTCCCGTTTTTTTTCATTTAAAATGTTCGACTAGGATCGTTAGTTGTTAAACAGAATCTGATTCTGATAGTTAATTTGTTGTCAAGGAAACCGACTAACCCTGCTAGTTCTCTCGTTTAAGGGATAGTTCTTCTCTGGTATCTTTGAAGGAGTGGAAGCCGTCTATTAGATAGAGCTTTGTGTGGTTTTTCATGAAAAACCGATTATCGCTTTGTTAGGAAGGTTTTTAACACCAGTTGTGATTCAAAAGCTATTTTTAGGTTAAATGGTCCGTGTACCTAACATACATTCGAGCGATTGGCCGTGACATTGCTGTCCTATTCATTGTAGTCTACATTCTCAGTGGTGTCCTTGGGGTTAGTTTTATTTTATCCTTCGAATTACAAAAAGGAAATATCTTATTAGTGCATCGCTTTTGACACTTTCAGTATGGATACAAATCTATCACCTCTTATCGTCTTGATCATCGAATCACTCGAGCGAGTGCCATTAAATCTTCCGCTTCTCCCTGTCGCGTACAATACTAATCCAATGGGTTGTGCTCGCTCTAGGGTCTCGTTGACCATGATAAATTTTTTCTAGGGTTTTCATGAACTACTCTGGCCATCGGGTCGGTGTTCTTCCTACAGCACATTTGACATTTTGTCATCCCGAGCAACCCACCACTGATGGATCTAGTGCATCGTTGTCAACCACGCGCATTACGTATCCGGCCAACCTTATTTCCGACAGTTTAGCGTGTAAAACAGCGTTTTTAGTCTATGTTTATTGACGTAGATCGGAGCTTCGGATTTCTCTTATTTGCGTAATATGGGATATTCCTACCGTCTTTTTGACTGCGCGTTATATAACGCTGAGTGATCTTTCGTCCTGCTTACGTGGCGAACAAGTTCCTGACACATACGTTAGGGCAGGAAGTGTCATGGAGTCGAAAAGGTGGGCATGGAGTTGGGTGTTTTTTGCTATTTTCACTACATCCTTGATGGTCTTGAAAGCTCCCGAAGCCGCTCGCTTCCTCCTGCTCAGCTCTGGAGCTAGGTCGTTCATCACGCTAATTTCGCTATCTAGATAAATGTAGCTGGTGCATTCGGAAATATTCGTCCCGATAAGCGGTATCCTGCATGCGAAACCAGTCGGCTCCTTATGAACATCGTTTTTGTGGGGCTTAGTCGAAGACCAGTCTTTCCAGCCGCGTTATCAAGTTCGGCTAGCAGTTACTTCACTAGTCGGCTAGTGTTTGGTGTTATAAGAGCGATGTCATCAACAAAGCAAAGATGATTTTATTGTCGACTATAGATTTTCACACCCACGTTTTTCCAGTGTTCTCATAACCTTCTCAATGGTGGCGATAAATAATTTTGGCGCGATAGTGCCGCCTAGTCTAACCCCTCTTTTGACGTCGGTGTTCATATGGTCGCTATGGAATAGTGATATTGTGGTTGTGAGATCTTCATACAACTCACGAAGATTTTTTATATACTGCTTCAGTATTTGGTACTATAAGGACGATGTCATCCCATGCTGTCCAGGGCTCCTATGACTACTTCTATCTCAGATAACGCAGAAGCTTTTCTTAAATCGACGAACGTGAGACAGCGCGTTCTCTTGTAATCGTGCGATACATCAGTAAGTTATCGTGTGGATGTCGTCCATCGGAATGAATTTTTTACGAAGGTCTGTTTGCTTATATAGCTTTCCTGCGTTCAATGTTCTGTCATTCCTGTTGAAGATGGTCGGGAGATGAATTTATGGGCGACAGACAGTAATGAGATTGGGCTATTCCCAACGATAGCGTGGAAATCACCCTTCTTAAAAGTCTTGCTGGTATTCCATTGAATAGAAACATTTCATTCTGACAGGTAACATGTGAAGAGCAGCGCCAGTGCGTTATTGAGAACTGGGTTGAATTTCAGGAAGGAGAATGGATTTGGCGACTTATTCATCTTGCCTTATTTTATTTGAGGACAAGAAGACCTGGCAATTGAAGATATTTGAGTAGTAATCGCAAATGATTTTGTGTATTGATTTTTTTGAAGCTGTAATTTTTACATTTGGGAGTCGGAGAGCAATCATCTCATTCTTGTAATTGGCGACGTTTTGGTGGCGTGTGGCGCAGCGGCCGGAGGTGCCCTGCAACACACACGTGGAACCGATCTTAGCGCTCATGGCCAACCAAGCCTTCTGTCCTTCCGGGGTTGGAAAACTGGTACCAGGCTTGTCTGGGAGGATAGCAGTACTGGCTCGATGCATCGGTAGGCCTCCGCGAGTCATTGTAAAGGCCGGATATGCATTCAGTCACCTCCAAACGATGCTTAACGAGGTCGAATGCATGGTGCATCTCTCAAGAATTGATCAATGCCGAGAGCTTTATCTTTCTATCCTTTATTTTATTGGTGGGCTTCGCGAACGCTTTCGCCAGCCTTGGCAGAATCGATTGTAACAACTGGTCTTCTCTCTTTCAAATCCTTTTTAACGCCTGGTCTCATTGTTTTGTATGTTCGGACGTGAAGTGGCGCTTGCCTGTTTCTCGTGCTACTCTACATCGGTCTATCAGCTCGAGGTTTTCTGTGCCAGTTAATCCCAGAGTAGAAAGTGGAGCTTATTTGTTAGAGGCGACTCCTAGCCGCCCGCCGTACACTTCCATGTCAATTGATTTCAAGATTTTAGCCGAATTGACTCGTAGAATACAATACACATAAACGAAGACACCCCCATGCACACATGCATTAATACGCTTCGTAAATACAGAAAGTATGGGCCAAATCAGCCCAGCAGAAACACTGAGTCGATCCCCTGGATCACCTGCGTCTTAGCGAAGCGCGATTGGTCAGCGATTAACCACCAATCGGCCCGCCTGGGGACCCGCCGTGCTGCCTGGCGACTAACCGTAGTGAGATCCCTCTATGAGAAAGATCCGTGTTCATTATGGATTAGATGGAAAAATTCAGCGAAAGTTCATTTACACTATGAACAAAAACAAGACAAAGTGGATATATGACATTGTACGGAATTCTGGGTATTTTTAGGTTGCCAGTAATGTTTGGCTAGCGAGATGGTCCGATGATGCTGAAGCAATCCAGCAAACCAACAACGGTAGCAGTTATGGGACAAATGTGAGGCTTGCGGTATATACATCGTTGGGACTGGGACAAGGTATTCATTCTTCTTGAAACTTAAATGTTAAAAAGTGCGTGCCAGAAACGTTGTGTGGGATGTTCATTAGTTTTTAATCGTTCTTAAGTCTCTCCATCACTTTTGCTCGTTAATTGCCGAAATAGTTGATCGAGCACTAGTTGAAGCTACTAATTTTCATTGTCGGATATCAGAGCTCGCCTATAGGTTCCTGATCCTCTGTCACCGGCTGAAATTTAGCTGATTTCATTCCGATGAAATTAATGCTCGGCTTCTTGATTACATGAATCAGTTTTTCGTCGTTTAACGTTGCGAATCTTCGAATGCCTTGTCTATGCTGGATACTGACTACTCGTTCTGATAGGGAAAAATTCGGCCTATTCAGTTGCTTCACTGCCGGAGAGATGGATCTCAGTAAAAAGTGCGAGAGGAAAGTACAGTAACGAGGCTCCAGGTACTAAGTCTGGAAGGCCTGTATAAGCATCAGAAAATTAGAATTTCGTACTTCTAACATATGAGAATCTGCATCTTGCTGGCAATATTTGTATGATCTACTATTTTATAAAGTGGAGAAAAAAGTGAGATGGCGTGTTCAATTTTTTAAAATTAGGAGCGCATTTAATTAGATGCTTTGGATGTTACTGTGTAGACGCACATGTGCTTGTTGTGCATACGCATATAAATATTCTTGTTAACAACCTCAAAAAGAAAGCTCTGACTAATTAAACAGTACCGAGGTTAATAGAATGTTGGCTCTGATTCTGGCATAGGACGTTTTTTAGAAAGATAGAAAACTCAAAGCTCCTAAATAGATGGGCCATTGTAAGTCACTATACATGAGAGATACACATTTAGTGCGTTGCTACGAATGAAGTCAAATCCATGGCGTTTCCCCGAGAGATTGAGAGATGCCTAACGCTTCACCACTTAGCTTGAAATATATTCAGAAAAATATGTCGCCTTCACGTATAAAGCCAAATAAAACAAAGGAAGATATAGTATAGAAATTTGTTATGCGGACCAGTGAATTGACTCCACCCCACGATACTTCATAATGTAAGCAATTCGGCTAATAAGTATTAAGTATTTCAAGAACAACCAGCCTACTCTAACCTGATTGTACTGAGTTAGAAATGATTTGATATTCGTCCAGTCTAACCGGCGGCTAACAAGCATGTAGTCTCAACTACTTCGAATTGGATGCACTGCTGATGTGGGGCATTAAAATGTTCTCTTTCTTGATAAGCTTGCACGAGGTTGATAAATATATTTATTTTCGGCTAACGTTTCGACGTCTTCGTCTTCCTCAGAGCCGGTGATCCGAGTCGATGGTCCATGCT